AAATGCGTTGTCGCACATTCTTATGCATATCGCAATAGTTCGATTGACGCGGAAGCTTGATGAACTTCCGCGTCCGCGTCAGCGTAAATTGAGGAGTCTTTCGAAAGGCAATTTCCTCGAAGTCTTTCGAAAGGCTATTCTATAATTTTATTATAAATAATTTAATAATTACCCGTTGTAATTTTAGATTACAACAGTGACATTAAAAAAAATTAAAAAGACATTCCGTGTATGTGTGCGGGCTGGTGTGTCCAAGCAATTATTCGAGTTTTAAATTGCTCGATAAATGTAGTTTAGACTTTTAACGCGAAAAAAATTATCAAGTTTCGCGATTGCGGCTTTGAGAATTTATTCTATTCCACAAGAATATTGGACAAAATGAAGAAAAAAAATTTGAAATAAAAATTTAAAAAACGTATAGATTATACACACGAAATTGTCGGATCGCGATTCATCAAATTTGAAACGTACCGACGCGCGCTACGACACACAATCATGTACAACCAAATATCCAAACATCAAAGAGATTTCGTCAATCAGATTGAGGTTATGGAGATTATACGCAATCACGCGGCAAGAAACCCTCAAATCACTTGTCATTACACGCAAATTGTAAATATCAAATTGAGACAAAGAGAGAGAGAGAGAGAAAAAGAGGGGGGGTAGGGAGAGGAGGCGAATTGTGGATAAACGGCATTCACTTTTACTTCGTCAAAAAATTCATCGGTGCGTTCCAAATCGTCTACTTGCAGGTTGAATGGCTGCAATTTTGTGCCACTCAACTCGATGCACACGTTTAAACATTTGCATGTGAAACGCATCTTTTCTATCATTGGCAAAACTATCTGTGTACACACAAGCACCACACACAATTGTCGCGATGCAATTGACGAGAGGCTGCGCGCGCGGTCGAGAGAAGGCTGCAATTTTGTTTATGCGCACGCGCGCACACACACGCCACAACTAAAGTCGCACGTGGCGACTTTTGTAACCATCCTAGCAACTAACGCGCATGCGCGCACAAAATTTTTGCGACGGTCACACGCGGATTGGATGACGCGATTTTCAAATACATAAATGAAATTGATTTTGACGCGTTATTAAAAGACCTCTACATAAGTGAGATGACACGCTTTACATACATTACGATTTCGCATCTTGCGCAAATCAAGGATATTTGCTGCACGTGTCGCAGAGCCCTCTGCTGCCTCAGAGATTTTCTAATCTATACTCGAGCCACGGATTATTTCTCGTTTGCAAAATTGAATATAGTATGCGTCGTGCATTTACTATACACGTTTAAGCGAGCGTTATTTTTTTAGCAACTTTTAATTTTTTACTCGTTTACGCGGAATAAATTATCTCTGCAAGTTGCTATGTAAAATCCTCCTTTTACGCATATTAGGAAAGTTTCGATCGTTTACGTTGAAGAATTATCGCATAAAATTAATTTATAGGCTGTTTTAATTTGCAGTCGGCTTTTATATTTACAATCATCTCGGGTACAATGTTAAAATGTCGAGATGATACTCGAGACAATTTGAAATTTAAAAATCGACTATAAAAATCGCGGTCATGGTAATATAATTGCAAGATTAATATTGAAACACGTACGCGCACGCTTATAATGCCAAATAACCAATTTTTTTTTTACATTGACCTATATTAGTTTTAAACTTTTATTTCGTATCTGTCGCACTCTACATGTGAAAAAATAAAATAAAATAAAACAATAATGAAATTTAGCACTTTGCAACATAACAATTAATGTTTTATAAAAGCTTTTATAAAAAAAAAAATTATAAAATTTATGCCAGGATCTCACATACCTAGTTTACAACGGACCGTTTGATACGCGTACCTATCAAGTACTACATCCGTATCAAATTGTACATCAAATCTCTACTTATATCGGAATAAATTGAGATTTTATATGGATTTGATACAAAAACGCGTATCAAACGGTTCGGTGTAAACAGGGCCATAGACGCGGGGCGAAACGCCCTATATGTGCGGTACAGTGCGTTGACCAATCGGAAAGATTGCCGCGCATTCTGGTCGGTTGCGTCAAAATAAAACATTTGCGATTGGTCAACGCACTCTGTCGCACATATGGGTGGCGTTTCGCTTCGCGTCTATTAGATTTTTTTTCCTACACTTTCAGTTAATTCAGTATCAGCATACGAAAAAGAAGAAAAGTCGTTTACGCGTGTGGAGGTAATAACCAACAATCAGAGACGATTGTTGGCCATAATAATCTCGAGAAGAAGAAGAAGAGGAGGAAGAAGAAGCTTGCCGAGAAAGAAGGCGAAGAATATATTGAAGCGGAACAAGATTAAGGTTTGTTTATTTTACAATTATTATTTGTCCTGTGTGTGTATGTGTGTGTGCTTTTTGTTTGCGCAATTCACACATTGTGTTACAACAATCGTCGCAAAACATTGATAAAAATTTGTCACTTGATAAATTTCGATTCGAGCATCCGCTACATGTTGTAAATGTTTAACGATTTAGCCTGCAATTGTAATAATTTTTTCATCTTTATCATGTTACAGGTGACACTGGTAGCGGCAAACGTGCAACCCCACAATGGCTAAAAATTTTATGGAGAAGAAAAACGCAGAAATGTTGAATCGCAACAAGGGTGCTTTACCAATTTTTTCCGTGAGACGCAGGATCGTGTCCGCGATCGCCGACAATTCTGTCGTCATCATACGTGGGTCCTCGGGATCCGGAAAATCCACGCAGGTGCCGCAATTTTTGTTGGACGAAGCGTATGAGAAGGAAAATTTACACGGCGACACTATTGAAGAGCAACGTTGCAACATTATAGGTACGTCTATGAATTTTTGAATGCGTAATACAATTTAATAAATGAATTTTTTTCCATATGCGTCATTTAAAAATTTATTGACCTTTGTGTCTTTAAAGTGCCATTTTTTTTTCATTTTTTCATTTTACGTTAAAGAAAATTTTTTCTTCTCATTCAATCTGTCTTGTCCTTGAAATGTTTACAAAAGCTTTTCAAACATATTTTCGTAAAGCGTAAATAAAGCGTTTGGCAAATTACGTGTGCGGGTATGTGCGTTTATATGTGTGTGTAATAATACATTGCACGTTTATTTTATGTATTTTACAGTAACGCAGTCGAGACGCATCGCCGCTCGAAACATGGCGAAACGCGTCAGCAACGAGAGAGGATGCCCCGTTGGTACACTCGTTGGATATGACATGGGCTTGCACAAAAATGTAAACCACGACACTCGTATAACGTATTGTCCGCCGGACGTACTGTTGAATAATTTTCTAAGTAATAAAAGTATGACGGACTATACGATTGTCATATTGGATGACATACACGAATACAACAAGGACATGGATTTCCTCATGTTCCTAGTGAGAGAGTTTTTACGTACAACGTCCCCAAGAGTGAAAGTTGTACTAATATCCACGACGATCGACGTGGACAAATTTGCTCAATATTTTGCAATGCCTGTAGAAAATGAATTTGTACCCGCACCAATCATTGATATTCCCAATTGGAAAGCTTACAATCTTTCCATATGGTATATCGACCAGATTGAGGATTTTGGTTGCGTAAGTACATAAATTTTTTTCTACACGATTAATAAACATTTTAAAAGTGCTTCATTTTATCGAAAAGGTGATTACAATCGCGTTATTCGCTTTACGGAGAGACGAGGGAAAAAAAATATGTATAAATTTCTCAATGTCGATAAAACGGGTGTCGGGATATCGGATTGTTGTTTCGTCCCAAGTTAAAAATTGCCATTGCATACATTTACAAACGTCAGAATTAACGTAAAAATAAATTTTTTACCAAAATTTGGAAAAAAAGCCAAAAGTCTTTTTTGTACGCAACACGCGATACAGAGTATTGATAATTAATAATTTTCATTTATTTTTCCAATTTTCTGCGATTAATATTAATGTGTTTTTTGTTTCTCCCAACAGATCCCCAAAGTCAACGAGGAACCGACAATCACGACTGAAATGGTGAAATTTGCCGTACGTATCGTACGTGCCTTCGACTTGATTGAAAGTGGAGAAAGTAGCGATGAAAAGGGCACTGTACTAGTGTTTCTACCGGGATTTAGCGAAATTAATAAATTACATGCCGCATTGTTGAGTTTCAAACATGAATCTGACAATTGGGATGTAATCGATTTACACAAGCTCGTCTTGGCCACCGACCAGAAGGAAATATTTAAAGAGTCTACAAAAAATATTCGACGTATTATATTGTCGACCAACCTTGCTGAAAGCAGCATTACCGTGCCCAATGTTAAATACGGTATGTATCGTCGATCAATCGGGATTGAATAACAGTACTCGTGTGTTTATCAGACTAATTATATTTATGAAACGATTGAGTCACCTCAAGTATATAATTATCTTTTTTTTTCAGTGATTGATTTTTGCTTGACAAAAATCCACGTCGTCGACTCTGAAACTGATTGCGAATACTTGCAACTGCGTTGGACAAGTAAATTGAATTGCCAGCAGCGTGCCGGTCGTACGGGTCGCGTGGCGAACGGCAGGGTATACAGAATGGTACCGACGGCGTTTTACGAGGTAAATTTATTCAAATTTTATCCCTAAATCTTTTGATGATTATAATCTTTTGCAAAACGGTTAGTAAATTATGTTTTTTTGAATATTGTCCACAGAATGTGCTGCCAAAAGAATTGTGGCCAAAGATACTTAGAGCTACGCTCGCAAATGTAATTCTCCAGATGAAAATGTTGAATTTGAGCAAACCCGAAAATCTGGTTCATCTCATTTTGCATCCACCCAATCTCAGCGATATACAAAAGACTGTATTATGGTTGAAAAGAGTTGGCGCACTATCCGCGAAGGACCAATCCAAAACCGATGGGAATCTTACGCCTTGGGTCGCGTAATGGCCAGTCTCCCCTCGTTAGACATACACGCGACAAAATTGATTGTCCTGGGCAAGCTTTTCGGGGTTTTGTCAAACGCGATTATTCTCGCGGCTATTATCGTGAATAAAGATTTATTCAATGTCGGACGCAACGACGCGAAAACAATTTACCACAGAAAACTGACGTGGGATAAGAATGTCGCGAGTGATTTGATAACAAGCCTGCGTGTATTTAAAGCGTGGCGCGAGGAAAAACAAAGTGGCCGCCTACAAGATCGAGACGACGACACGAAATGGGCGCAAGAAAATCACGTTCGCGTGACTTCGCTTGCCGCGATCGAAACATTTGTACGCAATATAACTGTGAAATTAGACACGCTCGGTATAACGAAAACAATAGATTCCGAGGTAATATCGTGGGAAAGTTTAAACATGAGTCCCAACTTTATATTAAGATTTGTAATCGCCAGTGCATTCTATCCAAATTATTTTGTCAAATTTCCACGAGACCCTGCAGCAGAGCCGTCATTGAATTCCGAGACGTCGACAGACAAAGAGCCACGTTTAGATTTACCGAGAGATTTTGATTCGCGATCCGAGGCAAGATTACAAGGTCCCCTCTCGCCGATAGAAGCTCGTTTGACCCGTACGGCGGTGCCGACGACGACGACGACGAGAGGACAGCCGACCAAATTTGTGTCGGTAGACTTCACATCGGTAAACGCAAATTTATTCGACAATTGCTGCTTGGCGACAGATTCGAAAGGATTTTTCCTAGTGGCGCAAACAATTTCCCGAGATACCAACAACCCGTCGCATTTGATTGTACAAAACACAACTCTGTTGCCCGCTACACCGCCCGGTCTCGCGTCGCTCGTCCCTTTAATTTTCACGCCGCACGTGGAACTGCAATGTAATCCGATGGACACTCGCTACACGGGCGCTCTGTGTGGATTGGGATACGATTGCACGACGCAGCAGAGCTTGCTTCCGGACCACGATCTGGAAATTAAATTTGACGTCGAAATCGCGACAAACGATTTGCGAATGGTACGTTTGAGGTTGAAAATTTTTACATACACTCTGATGCGTAATCAATCGTGTTTGCACATTTTATATATAACAATCATGCCAATACAATGTCTTGAATCTTGTGTGTTGACAGATTAACGAACTTCGCCACTGGATGAACGTGGGAATGCATTTATTTAAAAACGTCAATACTATAGATGGCGACGACGAAAAAGAGATGCATCGCGAAAAAACGATAAATTGTTACAATCAAATTCGACGTCTAATCAAAATTTTGATGAGCAAGAATCGTGAGAAGATGGAACCAGTTCAAGTCTCTAATATCGATCGACGCAATATCTGCAACTACGTTCCACTTGTATATCCTCTGCAGGAAAATGAAAATGAAAGTAACGTGTACCATCCACACCGGATACCGAAATTAATGGAAAAAACAAAGGAGATTGAAAAAATTGAAAAAACAGTGGAATATTTATTGGAATTGCAGACTTTAGCTCGTCAGTAAGTGCGACATTACACATAGTTTTACTTTAATCGTCTAGCAAATTGACGTTTTTGTAAAATTATATTTATAAAAATCTCCATTCTACGTATTTGTCAAAGTACACCGAGTTGTGTTTTGCATCAGAATCACCGTCGACCAATACTTTTTGAAAATGTATAGCGTGCATAACGTAAACTATAAATTTTCGATACGAGCGGTAATTAACGAAATGCAGCTTTAGAAAATCAAATGCAATGTTTCGTCGTCAACGAGGCGGCACAAGATAAAATTTATTAAAAAATCATTTCGCACAATTATTGTTCTTTATATTGATGAATAAATGTGTGACGTTAATATTTTATATTTTTTGTGTACAGAGACTCGCGTGAGACCTTTGCACCAACTTGTTGCAAACTGTGTGACGTGAAGATGCGTGATCGCTTGACTCGTGGCATACATTTAAAATCGATCCGACATATGGCCAGGTTACAGGCAAATTCGGCGCCCGCTTATTATGGAGGAAATTTACGGAATTTCATGACATTAACATTTGGTCCATAATTGTAAGGATAAAAGTGACAAATTTACATTTGATTATTCTTTGTCATTATTTTGTGACTATATGCTTTTTACGTGAAAAACATTATTAAACAATAATTGCTCTTTCTTACAGTATCTGCCGTAATTTCCCGCGGTTTGAAGAGTCAGCCTGTTTGCGAAATGACCCACTTGCGACGGAGAAGCACCACACGAATACCGGATTCATTATTATCAGAGGTCGCCTTGGGAGTATGTCAAACTTGGCAATTTCATCAAATTTGACAGTCCACGCCTAATTTGACCAACAGCCCAAACCTCATTCCGCGAAAAAGCACCGTTGGCGACAAGAGTAGCGACAGCGACAGCAACAATGACAGCGGCGACGATAGCGGCGATGCTTAAACATTGTTCAAGTTTCAAGATGATTTCGAGAAGGAAGAACAAAAGCTGATTATCGATAAACTAGACAAGATGTGGCCAATCATCGATCTGAGGAAGATGGATATACTGGCATCTCACATTAATCCCGACAAGATGACAATGGCGACGTTGTGCGTTCAAGCAAATCTGATGGACGAGACCAATACCATCTCGACTTTGGCGAATTCAAAGTATATCCAGGCATCGATAATGCCCGAGGGAATGACGATGCCGCCTATGAAGGTAGATGAAGAATCTTTGCCACAAAAAACGCTCTACGATCCACACAATTCCACGACGAGCTATCGCTCGTGCAATCTTGCGAGTTTTACGCACGAGACACAATTGCAGGAGCAGCAAGAGAAGATGGAGACGCTCGCAAATGTGACAGAGGACATCGACGAGAGCGGCAATAAGGACAATGCGATAAATCTCGCTGCGTTTTGGTCGACAACGAATGCAACGGTAGAAGGGAAACAATTGATGAATTCTAGTTGTATCACTCTTGCGGATAAATCACCTTCTTTGGCAGGACGGTAAATGTGCGACTTGAAAAGATGCCGTCGTCACTGTCGCAAACGACGATGAGTCAATCGGGTAAGCAGTACGTAGAGGTGACGGTTGTGCCAAGTACAGTTGAGTGAGGTGAGGATAGAGATACGCTTCCGTTTCGTTATTCTCCTCTTTTTCGCGACGGTGCCACTTGCGTAGACGAACGAATCAAATGGTACACGGTAAAATTGCGGTATATAACCATACCGTGGCGGTACACGTGAGAAATCGGTGATGTTTGTAAAATTGCATTCGTGCGAATCGATTAAACCGAGCAACGACATTTTTCAACCTCAGAATAAAGTCCAAGTTATTGAAATACAAAGAGATTTAAAGAGACTTTTTTCCCGGAACGTTTCATACTTGTTTTGAAAATAAGACTGGGTCTAAGCTAAAAAGAAAGTTACTAACTTGGTGATCAAATGAATTATTGGTAATTCATTTATCGGTAAAAGAGCTCCTCGAGGAGTCTCACGTTTGAAAACGCTTCTTTAAATGGCCATCGCTAACAAAAAGTTTTATGCTCAAAACATTGTTATGTACAAAACATTTGTACAAAATATAATGGAATGCGCAAGAAGCGCGACTCGTAGAGTCTTTAAAGAAATTTCTTAAAGAAGCGTTTTCCAGTCTCCAGCTGGCGTCTTATTGTTTGATTATGCTTGCATGTCCGGCGCGATACGCACATGTACGCGGCACGATACGTTGGAATGATTAGAATGTTTGATTAATATTGTCGTTTACCAAAATATGTACCAGTATTGCGTTATTTGTTTTTATATTATATGCGTAATGTCGACGTGATATTATTTTAAAAGTTGAAATGAGTAAATAGATTATACAATTATTATATATTGTATATATATATACATTTTTATACGCGCATGTATACATTTTGTTATAAACACGTTTAGCAGTAAAACAATCAACGGGAACAAGTTTTGAAAATTAATGCATTCGACGATACATTCCGAGAGTAAAAAGAGTAGCATTCGAGTGAGGTCTGTAAGAAGGAAGGTGAAAAAAAAAAAGACGATGCGAAATGTATTTATACGTATTATTTGTCAAACGCTCACTGCATGTTAATATAAAGCTACAAACGTACTAGTATACGTTTTCAATCATTTTTCCTCTATCGCATCAAAGTTTTATGGCTGTGCCCTGATAAATTACGCGATAGACGAAAATCGGGTTTTTTTATTTCAATTCTTTTTTATATCATTTTATCAACAATACGATTTTTGTGTGTGTGTATGACCAAAATGAAAAAATAAACATTTTTCTACACATTTACATGTCTTGCTCATTTTTACATTTCAATTTCAATTTTTTTTCTCCGTACAATAATATTTTCAAATGAATTTATCAATTTTCTTTCGGTGGTGAAGCTGGTAAATGATAATTATTAACAAGTTACATGCCACTTTAAATAAATTATTAAATCATTTATCGACTAATATCAATGATTCTTATTTTCTCAAATGTAAAATTGCCCAAGGCCATCAATACGTTTGCATTGAGTGGTAAAGGAGTAATGCGGCTTTTCAACAAAATCGGGGAAACGGTTAATAAAATAACATACAAAATGGACGAAAGCGATATGGTGAAATTCCTTTAATGCAAACATATTTCTTCGTGCATGTATTTCCTATAAAGTATCGCGAAACAATTTTTTGTTGCTTGCAATAGGAGGGTAAGGTACGTTTATTTGAAATCATCGTGTGAATTTGTTATCACGTATATTTTTTAAATTTAAGTCCACAAGGCTATCAATCAACGTATCATTAATTCCTCTCTTGGCAGAGCTTTGGCGCAACTATCCGAACGGACAAGACGAGTCAAGCAGCTATCGAGGTCATGAAATGGGAGGCAAAGGTGGATAGACGCCAGGAAGAATTTGACAATATCTCGAAGATGATGAAAGAGGAGGTCGAACGCTTCGATTTAGTCAGGGTGCAGGATTTCAAGAAGCAGCTGATTAAATACCTGATGGAGTCGATGCTGCAACATTAGAATCAGCTCGTTGAGTACTCTGGGAGAGTTTCTTACCGAAGGCACGAGCGGTGGCGTAAAATATTCCGTTGAAAGCGAAAGGAAGCGATTATTACAATAATAAGGCCGATACCTACCGTATAACACGAAAGAAGAAACTTTTGTAATGTTTGTCGGGACAAGTTACTCGTTTAATATCAACGATTGCAGTGTATCTTGAGAGAATTCTTGGGCTTTGTCAAGAGAGAAGCTCTTTTTCTGTTTCTGCTTTGTTTCAGTGTACATATAAAATGAAATAAAGTAAGAATAGAGGGAAAGCAAACGTGCGATTTGGGGGTATGCCAGTTTACTGAAATTGCAAAAAGAGAAATACACATTTTAATTAGACGCAAACGTAACTAAAAATTTCAAATTTTTACTACATTTCAATTATTGTCAATATATAATATATTCATTCTTTATGATTACTTTATATCCATATCAAGAGACACGGTAGTGTCTCGCGCCAAGTACACGCGGAGCGAGACCGACCGTGACTCTTTTACGCGACGCGACGGGTTGCGAGTACCCGAGATGTTGAGATCTCGATAACGAGTGAACGGATCAAGTTCTAAGTAGGCTTGATCGATAGCTTGGGGTCCAATTAGGGGGGGGTTTCTCTCATAATATTCCGCTACGTGCCCTACGAGCGGAGATATTGCGACGCAAAGTCCAAATGTGAAAATTTTTTATTAAGATACTTTTTCTACTTCTAACGCCGACTTATATGACGACGTCATAATCAGAAACGTCACTTTCACTTTTTCGACGCTGGCGGCGCAGGTATCGCCAGTTTCGATATCGCGCGCGTATTTCGAAATTAGGTCGATTGACTTATCGGTCAGGAGGAAGATTTCTATTTAGGTAAATTAGGTAATATATAATATATATTGAGTCAACGGAAAAGAAGGTTCTCTACGCTTGGCAGAAAGTGCCGCTAGGAAATTTTTAAGTCGATTCTTATGAATCAAGCTTGATATAATATATATTAAGCAGAGAGAAACCTGAGAGCGGCTACCGGGATCATTCCGTTCCAGCAGACGTATACTGACGCGCCACCTGAGAAAGTGGACGTCAACTACGTCGTTACGCTCGGTAATGGTACACACATGGTTCGTGTCCGTGCTATGGTTCGTGTCCGAACTACTCAGATGGAGGGGATATGCCAGTCGGCTGACTCGGCACTCTGCAAGCTTCGAGCGGGGAAAGAAGGGCAGACATACGATCTGCTGTCTCCTTCTCGCTTGAGCTGTTACGTTGCTGCTTAGCACGCGCCGGCTATGCCACGATGCCATGCATTTCGGGTATCGCTCCTCGCGTCTCGCCGAATGCCGAGTCTCGCGTTGGCAAATCGACGATGCGCTATACGTTACATTTACGTTTATATTTACAAATTTTAATTTTTATATTTATAAATAAATAAATAAATAAATATATGTATGTATATATATATATTTAAAATTTATAAATATAAAGATTGAAATTATAATTAATTAAAAAAATATTTATAAACATAAAATCTAAATATCGTAAATGTATTGTATAGAAATCCCCGTTTTGGCAAATTTGCTTTTATATAAAAAAAAGTCTTACATTAAAAACCTTTACTTTAGCATAATAGTACTTAAATTTAATATTTAAATGCATAACAATAATTACGTATTAACTATATCGAGAAAAAAAAGTAGTTCATAATGTTCTTTTTACTCTTATTAAATTTATATTAGCTATTAATGTTTATAAGCGGCCACGAGCAACAATAGAGAGATATTGAATTAAAATAAAAACAATTTCTTAAATAAACAATACACATGCTTAACGTTTCGACTGTACTTAGTCTTCTTCGGAACGGATTACTACGATAGAAGAAGATAAATATAAAAAAACATGATAATTAATGTTCAAGTTTACATACTAAAACATTAAACATTAGTCTAGACTAAAACATTAAATAATCATCTAATAATATAAACAAAGTAAACAATAATCTAATTAAATCATAAATATAAAAACGCCGGAATAATCGAATAAAACCATAACAAGATAAATTTATATTTATATTGAGAAGTGGTAAAATCTCTTCTGTCAGGAAGAGAATGTAAAGAATTATTAACGGAGGTATTCTGATTTAAAAGATCTTTAAAATATATATTTTTCAGGAACTTTTTATAGGGAAACGAAGAAAGTGAATAACGTTAAACTTTGCATGTTCTCTCTTCACCTTATTTTAAAAATTTATTTTTATTTTTTAAGTAACAAAAATGCTCTTTTTTTCTGTTATATCCTGGTCACCATAAATGACAAACGGTGTAAATAATTCTAGCTGTTCTAGGTATCTGAAACGCAAAAAGCTAAAATTTTTTTATTTAGAAGAAGTATATGTGGCTATAGTTTGAACT